GAACACATCCTGTTAATGTTTAGGAAACATTATGGAACGGAAAATAATTTTTCCAGAACGATTTGATATTTTTTTTCTCCGTCGAAAAAATTTCACACGTCTCGAATTTTTTTCTAGAAAGTGGGTAGAATTTCGGGGGTGTGTCTATTCACCAAAAATGATTGCAATCGACCCCCGCGATCGAAAATAATTTTTCCAAAACGATTTGAAATTTTTTAATTTCGCCGAAAAATTTCTCCACCTACTGATTTTTTTTCTCGAAACTGGTTAGGATTTCGAGGGTATGTGTATTCACCAAAAATGATTGCAATCGACCCCCGCGATCGAAAATAATTTTTCCAGAACGATTTGAAATTTTTTAATTTCGCCGAAAAATTTCTCCACTTACTGATTTTTTTTCTCGAAACTGGTTAGGATTTCGAGGGTATGTGTATTCACCAAAAATGATTGTAATTTACCCCTGCAATCGAAAATAATTTTTTCGGAACGATTTGAAATTTTTTAATTTTGTCGAAAAATTTCACACCTTCTCGATTTTTTTTCTCGAAAGTGAGTAGGATTTCGGGGGTCTGTCTAATGACCAAAAATGATTGTAATTGACCCCCGCAACTAAAAATAATTTTTCCAGAACGATTTTAAATTTTTTAATTTTGTCGAAAAATGTCACACGTCTCGAATTTTTTTCTCGAAACTGAGTAGGATTTCGAGGGTATGTCTATTCACCAAAAATGATTGTAATCGGCCCCCGCAACCGAAAATAATTTTTCCAGAACGATTTGAAATTTTTGAATTTAATTGTTAATAACTTTTTAACGAAGCCTCAGCCATGAAATTGATATTCTTGATTTTCGTCTTATTTTGTCCACTAGAGTCGCCCATTAAAATTTTTCCCAGGTGGTGGTCGAACACCCTGTATACGGAAAACAGGCGTGGCAGTCGGGCGTATTTTGTTTCGAGCAACTATAAATAACTAATTAAAAAGAAGATGTTAGGTGCTCGATCGGTCAACTCGGACGTCTTGAATCTTCAGACGAATAAAATTCCATTCGAGCGCGCGTTAAACATTGCATAGAAGACGGCCGAGATTTCTTGGATTTCCTAGAAACTCTCGTGACAATTGACCGTATCTCGTGGACAAAAGCTGCCCACTTTCCGGAGGCAATCGACACGCTGCTATTTCATATGATAATCTCAGGAAACGTCTGTTGCGGACTCGTTCTGATAGACGTCTTGAAATTAAATTCGATATCCTGGACACGTTTCGAAAAGCCCGTAACGAAATTTGTATAAAAACGCTGTACAAAATACGATAGGGAAATACAAAGAGCACCGTCGAATTTAAAAAAAAAAAAACGAAAAACAATTCGATTCTTTCGCGCGGGCGTTTCTGCATTTCAACAGCGAACTTTTCTACCTTTCAGCGACGCATTCCGCTTTCCAACGAAGGCGGGGAGCACGCGAATAAAAATAAAATACACCGCGGGTCGCCATGCTGGAATCGCCAATTCGCGCGCCATGATAAAAAAAAACGCGCGTTAAGGAAAAGTCGTGACTCGATAAAAAAACGGTGTGAAATTAATTTTTGTGCAAACGAAAAAGTCATAAAACCCTTCCAGAGAGCACACAGTCCGTCGCAGAAAATTTCTAAAATGGCTAATTAGAAAATGTATCGCGTTGTCCGTTGCTCGTTAAATGTTGTAAAGCCTCGATCGCTCGTGATATAACCAGCTATATTTCTCTGTCACGCGAAAACGGCATGCTTCGTGTTGATCACAATAGAAAACGCCTTTCGATTATGATCGAAGTAGATCAGCGAAGTAGCTTGGTTCGAGCCGCGAATGGATCCGAAATTGCGTGATATCACTTACAATTTGCTATGCTCGTTTCTGCATTCCACTGACGTCATTGGTGGCGCATCCCCTTCCATCGAGAACAGCCACTGAAAGATACGCATCTGCACGCAGTCCCGATTACTTCAACGTTAACGCTTTTCTCGAGATAATGTCCATCCTAGTTGATCAAGGATTCACCCTTTTCCAGAGTGCCACGCGATGTTTACGTTTAAAGAATTCACGATCTTCCGGATTTGCACGCATAGAGGATGTTGTTATCGGCAACACCCTTTAGACGAGACAAATTTGATTTTAATATTTTTTTTTTTTAAAGAGATCTCTAAAAAAAAATAGCGCGTGACGAATATTGATCACGACTCGGAATTCCTATCGATTAGAAGGGAACTAACTTTAACATTGTAAACTATTAATACGTGTAAGAGTATTGAACGATTGCCAATCGTATTGCCTGGGTCACACCTAGTCCACCATCTTGATATTTTGTTGCTTCCGCTTTACGCGACCGGAGGGTTACGAGCGATTATTGAGATCGTTCTTTGGTGGCAATCTAGATTTCTAGGAAACAGTACGGAGTGTGTATTAATCATAACTTGGAATTTCTGTAAGTTGGGAGGGAACAAAGAGAAGGATGCAAGTCGTGTGTAGTGGCTGTGCGAAACATGCCGCGATCTATTCGGTCGTTCAGAAAGTTCCCGACGCGTCTAACAGATACGGAAATGGGATTAATCTTGAACCAAAATGTCCAATTAAAAGATACCATGGATCGATGGAAACAATTGTACTCCGACTGGTAGATAAAAGAATCATTATTAACACCGGAACTACCAAAACAGTCAACATGACCCGTTCACAGTTTCTAATAAAGCTTCGATAAAATTTACTCGACTGATTTTTGTAAATAAACACTTGTTACGTTATACATTTCTCGCGTATCGATCGTTTTGATCCCAAATAAATATACTATAGTTGTCGGGTGGTTCTAGCGTTAAAATTGTTTTCAACGATCCCGAACAAAGTCTTTAAACGTCGAAGGATTAATAGGAGCGCGTCCAAACGAAACGTATCTCGAATAATTGATCGGTAAAGTTTGTATATTGAGTCGTTTCCACGGCCTGATGTGCTTCCATTTCGCGCGAACTGAAGATTTCGAAGTTACTGTTAGCGATAGTTCTCGGTTAGTACCTTCTCCCGATCGAGATAAACAATCTACGCTTCCAGGAAGCGGTACAGAGCGGCGGAAAGTGGATTAATCGCCAGGCCAGAAATTCCTCCAGTTAAGAAAAGACGAGGAAGAACCGCGCGACGATAACTAAAAGCTCCCGGTCTTCCTGCGAACTAATTCCAGATAGCCACGTCGGACGATTAAAAGTATGTTAACCTCGCGGATAAACGTGTTTTCCGGTTCGAACGGGCCGCGTTAACGCGAAAAGAGTCGCGATAGGTATCGATATGTGGGTTTCGTAACGATCGACGCGTACGCGATCGGTCGTTATCGTCGCCATTAGTCGGCGGGATTCGCCGGGCGCGGCGTTTGAAGCGTCGCCAAACGCGAGGACGCGGCTATACATCTTCGCACGGTACGTAGGAAGGCGAGAAAGGTCACGGCTCTGACCCATTTCGACGTTTTATCGGCCTACCGCGCGAGTAAAGTTCGCCTCGTCGCGGTGTACCGTTCGCCACCCGTGCTTCTCGGAACCAGATTACGTACACGACTTCCGTTTTATTTCGTTGTTTTTCCACCGATCCGCCGGCGGATTTCACGTCGAGCTTGCTTGTTTTCTCTGACGCGCCATCGAAATTCGAGACCGCGAATAAAACGGTTCACGAGGAACATACCGTAACCGATTGACAGTCCTCCCCGGTTCGATGAAACTTACAGACCGGAGCATTCGTTGCAGGGAAGTTCATCGTATTTGAAACAGCTATAGAAAAACCTCGAAACTTTCTATTCGCGCGTTTACTGCCAAATTCGTGAACTCCCCCACGAGATCAACGCGTTCACTGTCTGATCTCTCGGCGGTGTATCCAATCGCGTGGCGACACGACCCATATACGGGTCACAGACAGTGAACGTGTTGACGTTCTCACAGAATTCGATTTCTTCAGGTTCCAACGGATCGACGCGTTGAACTTGTTGAGCTGTACCAATCTTTCTGGCAAGGAATGCGTGAACGTGATCGAACGATTTCCCGTGGCACGGTACTACGAAAATCGACGGGAGTGACTCACGGCGAAATTTTATACTGGCCGGGGCGGTTTGCCAAACAGTCGTATCGACGCTTTCTTAGCTACCTCTCTAGAGTCGAATGTTGCTTTCGTGGGAACCGATCGCGGGGGATTTCCCCGTCGCGTCATACGAAATTATGCGAACGCAACTTAAAAACACGCGATACGAACTGCTGTCGTAATCAAACATTTCACACGACGATTATTTAAAAATGATAATGATCGATGTCGAATCGTATTGTCGAGAAAAGTGTGCACTCGACGAAGCGTTAAAATTCGTCTGGTCACGAATAACCGTGAGGCACGTTCCCGGCGCAAACAGTCGTATCGTTTTGTATCGATTGTTCGTTAGCACGGTGTAAATTCGCATTACCGTCGCTATAGTATTTCTATAGTTCAGTCGCGGCATTTAAATACCGAGTGTCCCGCAATGCCCATCGGTTCACCGATTTCGTACGATTTGTCGGAAACAGAGAGCCGGGCATTGTTCAAACATTTTTCGAGACCTCACACTATGTCTCTACTAGATTTCACCTCTTCAACATGGCCAATCACTGATAAAAAGACTTGAGGATTTCTGATTATCGTTAACGCGTTCACTGTCCGGTCTCTCAGCGGCGTATCCCATAGCGTGGCGATATGACCCGTATACGGGTCACAGACAGCGAACCTGTTAACCTTCGAAATCACTAACGCGAATGCAACAACCGAAAAAAGTAAAGGGCGAGAATTCTCCCCGGGGGAGAGGGAGGGTCGAAATCGGTGGAACGCAATTGTATTTCGCGATACACGGCGCGGAGACACGGGACCGCGGAGCTGTTATCGCGGGGCGAACAAACTGATAGAGGAAGGAGAGAGGAGAAAAAAAAAGAAGCGAGAGGAGGCGACAAATAACGGGTGCACGTGCGGCTCGTGTTTCAGGTTGCAGCGAGGACGAGGCAGCAGGTGTCGTGAACGCGGAGGTGGGCGGAGGTTGCGCGGCCGGGGCGCCAACCACAGGAAGTGCCACTGGAGGTGGTAGCGGGCCAGGTAGCGAAACTGGTGGTGGTGGTGGTGGTGGTGGTGGTGGTGGTGGCGGTGGTGGTGGTGGTGGTGGTGGTGGCGGAGCTAGAACAGGAGGCGGTGGTGGCCGCAGCGGCGGCGGTAAGGGCGGATCGACGAAACAGGGTGGCGAGAGGTGTCCCCAGTGCGGCATCCTCTGTCGGGACGTCCACATCCTTCAGCTCCATCTCGAGGACACGCACAAGACCACCTACGCCATCGACAAGAACGATCTCAACGCTCAATTCCCCCAAGTGGTGAGTGAAACTAACGTCAAGGACGAGAGGACTCCATTGTTCCCTGTGTATATTATCGATCATGCGCGACCGGTCTGCGGATTCTCTCCCCTTTATTTGCTCCTTCTCTCTTGCCGTTACTCTCTTCCATGCTCTTCTTTTTTCCTTCTATTTTTCTTCTATTTTTTTTTTCTTTTTTTTTTTTAATCGAGATTCGTCTTGTTCTCGAGATCGCGTTTCTCGTACTTGAACTTGATAAGTCCGGCTGTATTTTGGGGGGGAGGGGGCGATAGAATCAAGAAACTAATTGCTAATGTGTTAATGAATTTCATAAGTTTAGTGGAATTTCCTGAATTTTTACGTGCATTTACTCTTTTAGGGACTCGAGTGATAATAGAATTAATATACGTGTTACTGTATATATGGTGATTTCGTGGTTAATCGGAGTTTGGTCTAGGAACGTGGCTGGTGCGAGTTGATTCGTGATTATTCTTGAACTTGAAAATGTAGGAACTGTTCCGATAGTACAACAAAGATGCTAAACGTCTAGTTACGAACATGTGAGTTTCAAGATTAACCCCTAAGTTGATCCTCCGTTAGTTCGTTAGTTTTTAAATGCTTTAAGGGAAAATTGATTCGGAGATTCAGAGTCCACTTAAGGGTTGTAAGCGATCGAATCAATAATACTTAAATTTGGACTCGTATGATTTGATTTTCGATATCTGTCCTTGACCAAACTTGACCACGACTCGCAATGACTTATAGCGCTCAATACCATAAACTAAAGCGATAGTACGTATTCGTTATTAAATTTGCACGCGTTTGTTAACAGCCACGATCACACGGCACGAAACAGTTTACTCCAAAGCACGTTCTTTGGTTTCACTTTGAAATTCCCAGCCCTCCTTTTGTTGCTTTATGTAGTTCACGGCTACGCCGATGCAAAAACACGTGGCTGTGTGCGGTTCGAATAAAGTACACTCTTGGTTCGCGGTTTTCCGCCCGGCAAAGTCTGCTTTTTCCAAAACGAAACGCCACGGGAACAAAGACACTTTCCTCGCTGGTATTATTCGTTGACTCGATCACGCGTTCACGTACCCGCCACAATTTATTAACAGTTTCGGTCGCGATTCGTAAAACGAATTCTTATTTCGCGCGTACGAGCAAGCTTAAACCAAATTAAACAGCACATAGTACGGGGCAAGAGATCGAGACAGATCGATCAAGCTCTCCGAAAAAACCGTAAAATTAATCGCTGTGAATTTTTTTCCAGTCCTGCAAGGTGTGCAGCAAGACCTTTGCTAACGTCTACCGACTCCAGAGGCACATGATCAGCCATGATGAGAGTGCCGTGCTTCGTAAGTTTAAGTGTCCCCATTGCGAGAAAGCCTTCAAGTTTAAGCATCACCTCAAGGTACTACGAGTGCACCCTTATTTTTCATTTCTCATTCGTACATCGTTTTATTTCCGTTATTTGGTTTCACGTTCACGCAGCACCGCTTGACACGACGCAACGTCCTGTAAACGATCGAATTGTCTTGTCTCGATAGAATAGAGTGTTACGTTCACTTTCGTTTTACCACGGAAACCGACACGCACAGAATGCATAGACCTATGATAGTTGCACCCTCGCGCGATGGGCGTTCGAACCTTTCGATCTCTCGAACGATTCGAATGTTGTGAATTTTAATGATAATTGCCGGGGCATAGATCGTGATCATTCGAATCGATTCGTCGAATTTCGAGCCCCCATCGCTCCGTTAGATCTGAATGAATATTTTCCTTATTCTTTGGACTGATATCCGTTTCACGCTAGTTCTTAGGTACGAAACTACGAATACATAGAGCACAGGATGACGCAGCGCGGAGCAAGATTTCGTAAATAATGTAAAAGAGTTGCATCAGCAAACGTAACGCAACTTTTCGTTTAGTTGTGCACAGTTATTACAGAAGAACCGAGTCTTTCGTCGGCTCGGACGTAAACATGACGCAAACTTGCATTAATGATATGACTTCTTATCGTATTTACTTATGTTTACAAACAGAAGACATCTACTGCTAGCGTGTTGCAGTCGCTTCGGGGAAATCAGTATTATTGTGACTCGATAGCGATCCTATTTACGATGGGATCGTTATACGACTGACAAAATTGTTTCCCAGAACGTGGGACCATCATTCAGGAATAGAATAGACGTTCGAAGATAAGAAACAATTTTTGGATGTCTTGTACTAAAAAATAATGGCTCGACGTAAACGTCATTCCACTTTTAAAAATTTAGGAGCCCCTATTTTCTTCGTAAAATCCACCCAAAAAGAATTTATTGTAATATACTGTTCTATGACAATAACTAACCAAAAGTGATCCAAAAAAGCTATTTAATAATAGAGAAAACTCAATTTTTAAGTTTTTTAAAAGTTTTTATGCTGAACTGCTTTGTAACAGAGATTATAAGAATCGTGACCAACTCTTATGGCGTACCGATCGAAACTAAAACTCAGTGACGATCGTGATGTTTACGTTTGGGCCAAAATCATTGTCGCCGTTCAGGCTCGTTAAAGTACGGGAAGGGGTGAAAAAATTCAGCTCTAATAAACGATAAAATTACACTCTGCGGGGTATACATTGCGCTGCGTCATCCTAAGCTCAATGTGTACTTAGTTTCAGTTGCGTTCGCGCACATACACACATGCACACACCGGATCAGTGGTTCTTAATCTTTCCGCGCTCGTGGCACAATTAAAGAGACAATTTCAGTTCTAAATAAAAAAAAAAAATAATGTAGTTAAGTTAACGGTCACGAATGACAATGCACGATCGTGAATAATTCTAACTACTTCGGATAGTGTAACAAGACATAAAATTAAACAATGGCAGAATATTATTTGTCACGACACGCGATGGTTAAGAATCACTGTACCGGATATAGATGTTGATCCGTTCGATCGTTTAATTGTAAGGTTTTCTCGTTCGCGCAGGAACACCTCCGCATCCATAGCGGTGAAAAGCCATTCCAATGCAACAACTGCGGGAAACGTTTCTCTCATTCGGGATCGTACTCGAGCCACATGACGTCCAAGAAGTGTCTGATCGTGAACTTAAAGAAATCCAGGCACACGAACGTGAGCAACGTGGAACGCGGCCCGAAAAAGGCGCAACAATCTCTGCCGCCTGGACGACGCGAGGTCGATCTTCTCGCGGCGAACAATAACACTTTCCTCCCTATTCTGCCCAAGCTTTCACCCTCGGATTATCAGGAGATACAACGGGAAGGGGCGGGTGAGATTCTATAATTTTCTTGCGTTCTTTTCCGGGTGAGGCGACTCGCGAAATCGAATCATCGCGACGATCAATTGTAACTCCTTGGTCGACATATTGTGAATGTATTTTAATAGATATAGCGAAGTTAGATCATTGTGAATTTGCTCCGTAGAAGGTAGGTATTGTACGTTTTGGGAAAGGGGGCGTGTTGCTGTTACCTTTTCTTATTAGCCGATTGGAACGGCCAGTTTATGGGTCTGCATTTTGCAGTTGATTTGGCAGGTAGTAACTGACCTGATCCATTATAGTACAAAGGGACAGCACCAACAGCAATAAACTCATTAACCTGTGAGGATTTAAGAGCATGGGGCCTGGCTTAGATCCGTAAATAAGTATTAATCGTTATAAACCGGTACGGTAAAAATATCGTACTCTGTACACTTTGTTTTACGCAGCATTGTACCTTCAGGTGATACAAAAGCAAGGGCTTGTATTGTTGAAGGCCATTTTGCCAATTAATCCGCCGCTTCGGAACAAGCGCAGACTGCTCTGGTATCATGGTCAAGAGCGGAAAGTACACATGTTAGTATAATTGGTTCACCAGTAGTGCATTAATTAGCGAAGCGACCTTGCATGATTATACCGACAAGTTCGTTACTTTTACCTAGTCTGAAGGTACAGTGCCGCACAACAAAGTACAATTCCATTAAAATGTTACAAACCCTTAAATGTTCGAGACGCGTTCGTTTAACAACTCCTTCGTTGGTATCTTCAACTTTTAACACGTTGACTGCCACGTTGCAGTCTAAAATACTAAAATTGTCCACTAAAATTCACGAAGCCTATTCAAATTTATTTTCTTCAACGATTTCAACTTGAGGATTAATTGTTTTAGTTTCACTGTTAAAAGTTCTCCCATGTATGGGTGACGTGGCAGTCAAAGAAATGGTCATAAAACTATATAAAGTTTTATAGAGAACAGACCTAACCAGGCCCAGTCGCTAGAGTCATCCTGTTTAGGGGGCTGACGGCGTAGATGTGTGTTTCCGTCGATCGATTCGCGAATTAGATAGATCAGCAATGCAGAAAGCAATCCGGTTCCAGGTATTTACGATATGCCGACCCTTCTGCCTCAAATAATGGGCTTCGGTAGTTACTTCCTCCAAACGTCCCTGGGCAAGATCCTAAATCAGCTACATTCCAAGAGATTGGACGAAGTAGCCGAGCAATTCGAGTCTCATCGGGAACTTATGAGCCCGTCGACCGCGGACTCCGAGGGAACGGAAGGCACGGAGGGCAAGGAATCCCCGGCGCCCAGCGATCCCCAAGGTTTGGACGCGGTTCGACGGATCTTGGAAACGGTGAACACCTCGGTGACGAAGCAACTGTTGGAGGCGAACGTACGGAAACTGTCCACTTCACCGGCGACGACGAGACGCGAGTTCGACGAGGATTATCAAGTAAGATGTCGCGAGACGATCCCCGATCTTGTCCCCTATTTTGTAACGGCCACGGGCTTTGATAAAGACGGTTATTGTCACGCAGGATCAAGACAGCGAGATGTCTAGCGAGATGACACACTGCCCGGACTGGTCAGCGACGGATCAATACGATTCTCAGAGCGAAGGTTTAGCGGCGAAGTTGGAGGACGTGAATCAACCGTCCACGAAATCGGGCTACAAGAGGAAAGTCGAGGACAGCTCGGAGCCGGAGTTCGAGGACGAGGAGGACGGGTCGCAGACGCATAACGATAACGAAAGGAGAGTGAGAGCCAGGTCGTTGATCGACGACGAGCAATTGGCTGTCCTGAAGGGGTACTATGCAATTAATCCACGGCCCAAAAAGGAGGAGATCATCATGATCGCGAATTACATCAACTTTCCCACCCGCGTCGTTCAGGTACGTTATTGTCCGCGATTCGTGTACGCTGGTTAAGAGACCGACGTTCTGATCAGAGATTCACCGTCGTTAGGTTTGGTTCCAAAATTCCCGGGCGAGAGATCGACGGGAGTCGAAGATACCGGCCTTGGTACCGTTGAGTAATCCAGTTAGTCAGACCGTCATCGAGCAACCGCTTGATTTGTCCAAGAAGGAAGCCCTCACACAGTCAACGTGCAAGGAAACCGACACCACCAGCCCGGCCAAAGTCGCGTCGTCGCCTCCGGGTGAACAGAAGAACGATAATCCGGACGCGGACGACCTGGAGGACTCGCCTCTCGTTATAGACGAGGAAACCACCGACTCCGTGGAAACGAAACGCGTGGCTCCCGTCGCGAGCGAGACCGTTCCAAAGGTAACAGAACGTTATCTGTAATACAAATTCAATCCCCTGTACCAGTACATCCCACGAACGGATTTGATGGAATGCTCTAACGTTTCTAGCTACGCTGTTGTTGTTCTAGCGATAAGAGTGATACGACGATTTATTTCTGCAGAGTCAACCTCAGGCAAACGTGAAGAACGAGAGCGACAACGCGAGTCAACCGGAGGCTCCGCCGGCGGCAGATATCGAGCAGGGTGTCTACTTCTGTGATCGGTGTGACAAGACATTCTCCAAGCACAGTTCCCTAGCTAGACACAAATACGAACATTCCGGTATGTATTCGAGCGGTTGACACTCCAACCGATACACGTTTACTGCTATCTCGACAACCGTACACCAGAGACTCTTAAAACTGTAACTTGCAAATACTATTTGTATACGCGATTCGAACCGAATGGTTTCTCAAACTGGTAGTCCGTGGACCTTCGACCACAAGTTCTATATCCAAAAGAAATCACGACTGAATTACAGGGATCTTATAAATTTCCGCAGGGCAAAGGCCGTACAAATGCGTGGAGTGCCCAAGGGCGTTCAAGCACAAGCATCATTTGACCGAACACAAGCGACTACACAGCGGCGAAAAGCCCTTCCAGTGCTCCAAGTGCCTAAAGCGCTTCTCTCACTCCGGCTCCTACAGCCAGCACATGAATCATCGTTACTCTTACTGCAAACCGTATAGAGAATAGAAGTATTCCGCTAGTTGAAAACAAACCAAGACTCGTTGGGCTTAAGTTAAGTATGCATTGGTCCTTTTCACTTCCACGGCAGGATTCGTCGTTTTTAAGTTCGAAGAAATATATACCTCGCGTTTCGCCGCGGGAACACGATTACTTTGGGGGGGTGGGGGGGATAGGGGGAGGGGGGTCATATAAAGATCTATAATAATGATTTATTCGCGGGCGCCAGTGAAAGAAAGAATGGAAAAGATTTCGACGAATCCGCGCGGTCTGGCGCTGCGTGAAACGCGGCGACGAAGAATTAGCCGAGGCATATAAAGTAATATATTTAGCTGGACGCTCGAAGCCACGGAAACGGAAACGCCGGGCGGACGAATGCGATCTCGACGCGATTACGGTGACCAAGGACGAGCGTTTGAGAAGAGAAGTGGCGAGGGACGAAAACGTTGTCCGACTTTCTTTTCAAATCCGTTCTCGCGCCGCGGGAAAACGAAGAAACGAAAGAAAGAAAGAAAGAAAAAAAGAAAACCAATTCGCGACGACCTCGAGTCGACGAGTATAAACCAAACAATACGCAACGGTACCAAAAATGCATAATGCAATAATCTATTATATATTATATATAATATACATAATATTTTAGTATTTTTATTAACAAGATTATTATATATACCATGACAATAATAAGGAAACTAATTAACGTACAAATTTGTTAGCCACGTTCGCAACGGGGCACGCGATATTCTCAGTCGCGACGCGCAAACTGGCGAAGGGATGTATAAACGCGATATAACGGAGCTCGTTTTTTTTTCGAGAGTTTTGGGCGTGCAATCGGATATTCGGACGAATAGAAAACGAGACAGCGGCGGATCATGCATTCGTAAAGGGCTTCTAAACCCAAAACGCGGTTTAGGAGCCCCGTTAGGAGTAGCCTTACAGTGAAAGAAGCAAATGAAAAAAAAACTAAAAAAGAAGCATAAAAGACTTACCGATTAAAAGTACCTTTCGTTCTTCAGAGATCGTTCGATCGAAATTCAATTCTGATCTTTTTTTTTTCTTCACGGTGTGAGGATTCTGGATGATCCATGGCCACCGAACGAAGAATGCGTCTGAAACATAAATCGCCAAACAAGAGCTTAAAACGTAAATTCCGATGATTCGCTGAGAACGAAAATATAAAACAAAAAAAAAATAAGAACAAACTAGAATCCTTAAATTGTCCAGGCGTCTCTCGCGATCGAGTGGTTTTTTTTTGCGCTCGATCGAAACGAGATTCGGCCGAGTTACGATTCCACGTAGCGTCGAGGTGTTTCTGGGCCTTATGTGTCGGTGATCGATGCCATAAGAGTATCTTTCGATCATTGTGTACTTACTTCGAATTCCGAGTCGACGCATCGTCGGCATTCCCATAACGTGGCAGGTGTTACGCGACAGATTCAAATTTCAGTTTAAACTCTATCCAACAGTAGCTCTCATTACAGTGCCATAATTTTCTAATCGTGGAGTAGTTACCCATACCCTGAAAACAAAAACAGTCACATTGTTACTGAAGCGTTTATTTTGTTCCTGTTGTATCAGCAACGTAAACGAAGTGTCATCCTTTTTTGTAATTAAGGAAATTGGTACTAAGTAGGAGGCCCGTGAAATTTATATTGCAATTGAATCGCTGCGTATCATCGTTCACGACGAGAGAGAAAAAGAGTGACGCGTCCAAGAAAAGAAAATGCATGCCTTAGACATTCCGTGAGAAAATCGATTCGCGTCGACCGCTATCCGTGCCCCCTTTTTTTCTTTTTCTTTTTATTCATCGTAACCCCCGGTCATAACTTTCTTGTCCAGCTCGCTGAGTCCGTCGTGTTCAAGATCGACGGGAGCAGCGGGCCCCGCGAATTACTCCCGGCGCACGAAAGAGAATGGCATCGAGAACCTCGCAATAAACATAACCAACGCCCAAACCGAAAGAACGAAGAACAAAAAAAAGAAAAGAAAAAATATCCCTTCACCGAGATCCGGGCCCCGATCGTAAACTCTAAGTATAATATTAAATGCTTCCAATACTGTACTATTAAAAATTATTATTACGACATTTTTATGATTTTATTCGTTCGGACGCGTAGGTAAGCGGTATATATATAATATATATATATATATATATAATCTACAGATCGATAATACTCGAGAATGTATTTTATAACGGTTTATGCCTCTTTTTATTTACACGTACCACGAGTGACAAGTGATATATATATATTATATTATATTATATATATTGTTATTGATAATGATCGACGAAGAAAGGAAACGACGACTTATACGGAGATAAACACGACAGATATTGTACGTTTAAATGGGACGCGTCAGAAGTAGTGTCGGCCTAGCGGGGGCGCCACCGTTGCATTTCCTCCGCGTCTAGAAGCTCCGGTTATCCGCGACAGGCATCGTGTCCGTACTACGAAAAAAGGGAAATCCAAATATGATGCTTATAATACTCATTTATTATAGTGTTAATAGTTAAGAAATATATTTTTATATTATTATAATATTACGACACGAATATAGTACTAATCGATCGCCGCGGATCCGTGAACCCGCGATGAAATCTGTTCCTCGGCCGGTACAGACACGGGAGAATCGAATATTTTTTATTTCCTAGTTTCGAAACTCGAACATAACGATACAACGTTCCTGTGCAATTGCTTTGTTACTTTCCACCGTTGTTTCTCTTCATTGTGTTCCCTTTAGCAATTTTTTTTTCTTTTTCTTTTTCTTTTTATATATATATATATTATCAACGTTATTATTTATATATGTGTAGTCTTTCGATCGAATTTAATACCAAGTTCACCGTCATTCCTGAAACTTTTTCTACCGTTTTTGTAATAGAAATCTCTTACACGCGCCAAAGTTCTGACGATTCGGTGACCACTTGTTTCCGTTCGCGAGAAAAGAAAAGCCTCGATTCTGTACTTTCGAATACTTTCACGACCAACGGGCTTTAGGACATCAGGAAGGAAAAGCAGGAAACTTACGAAGACAATATTACATACGTATAAGTGACTAAATGAAGAATAAAAGAAAATATATATATATATATATATATATATATAAATATGAATATATAAATATAAATATAGATATATAAAGATAGAAATATTTGCTCTGATTCGGGAGTATTTGCAACCTGCTCGCCTCGATGTATGTATGTACCGTATTACTAAATAACACAGACTACAAGCGTAATTTTGCCAGCTTTCGCGCATCGGCATCGGTTATGTCTCCGTTACTTCCTACAATATTACATGAGAACTAAAGGGAAATAAGGTAAAATAAAATACATAGGTAAAGTACTCGTAAATAAAAAAAAAAAAAAAAAAAACGCGAGAAAGCGAGGAGAGAAATACGAAAAAAAAAAAAGAAAAAAAATGAAAAAAAAATTGTTAATGATTGTTGATGCAACGATTTAAAAATGAGCACCGTACGATGCCTTCCGTGAACGACCGAGCTTGCCTAGTTACCGAGATAAAAAGAAAATAAAAATTCGATGATCCGATCTTCGAAATGAATTCTCTCGTCGAAGGTGTATACAACATTACTCCCGCGATGTTTCCTCTCATCTACCGAATAACATGTTCCCTCTCTCACGGACAATAACGCCACCACGGACGTCCCCGTAAACTAATAGAGAATCTCTGAAATTACAATGAATTTAATTTTAATACGTAGCTACGTTGCATGCTGTACGATATATATATATATATAAAAATAGAAAGAAAAAAAAAAAACGTACAAATTCACGAGGACACGGGCGAATTGTGATTTTTATATGACGCGAAACACGCGGGGGTAATTATGTTCGCTTTAAAGCTGTACTCGACGAACACTGGTGGTTATGCTATTGAGCTTTCCATGACTTAACGTTACATAAACACCAGAATCGTGCGTGTGTGCGTGTAAAAACGTATGCGTGTATATGCGTGGTATGTCACAAGGAAAATACTCGGAGAAAATACGGCAGGACAATAATAAATACCGTTTCTTTTAGAGGTTAGAGAGCGTAAGCATTATACAATAGTATATATGTACATCATAATTGTAAAAGAATAAATTTGCTAAATGCAGCCTGGCAGCACGCCTACATGCGCGTTCGCGCCCGTGTGTGTCTGTGTGTCTGTATGCGTGTGCGTGCGTGTGGTGTTTGTGTATGTCCGATGTACGCGTGTGTACACGGCACAGCATGTATGTACATAGATAATACACTCATAAGGTTACATTTAGTCGCCAGAAATAACGATGCGGATGTATTGTAACGGCGAAGCGTTAATATACTGTAGATACTCGAGAGAAAGGTTGGTGGGTGGGGGGAGATGTAAACCGGAAGTTTTTGGCTGCGTGGTGAATGCAGTGCCTTCTCCGAGCCAAAATGATCTCGTCGTCGAAGCAAACGATCGGTGACAAACACGAAAAATACGCTCGATGAGCTTTTCGCGTCACGCGATTTGAATAGGAAATTGGTAATTATCGAAAATTCTGTTCGCGATTGGGTGATCATCCGGTCCGCCAACAAAATTTTTTTACCGAAATTTCCATAATACGCAACGATTTCCCGCGATTACGCGGGCAAATTCATATTTATTAATTAATTCGTTTAACGTTTGCGACGCGTTCTTGCAAACAGATCCTCGAATAATGTTATAAAAGTACATACGTTAGTCTAGTATAAAACGATCCTTCTGAAAATTCGATCGTTCTCGATGGGCATTCGACGTAGATAAAAGAGAGAAGAGAAAAAATTATTGTACATAGTATAATCGAAGGGGACGGAGTGTCATTGGGAGGATCGAACACTGCACGCACCGCGCGGCGAATTTACACAGCACGAATCCCACTGATGAATTCGGCTCAAATGGTATCGAGCCCGAGCCTGTTACACTGCGGAAAGGAGCAGAAAGAAAAAGGAAAGAAATTAAAATAATTGTATTGTGACGAAGTTCCATCCATAATAAATAAATGAAAATATTATACAGTTAGGCCGACTTTTCCGCCAGTTCGTGCCTTTTTTCTGCAGGGAGAGAGAGAGAGAGAGAGTGCAGTTTTGGAATCGATCTGAATGTGTGCTATGATGTACCCGCCTAATTGATAAGAAGCAGACAGCAAGGAAACGGAAAAGAAAGAACGAGGGGAGGTTAGCCGACTTCCGACGTTGAATAACGAAAACGGGGCGGATATAGAAGGAAATGGATTAAGAATCAGGTGTACGCCGATTCTTTCGGGTAACGAGTAACGTAAGCGACGAAACGAAGGGAAGAAAAGAGGTTCGAGATAAACTGTAAGCAGATCAATCGAGTGACACGATTGAAGGGGAGAGCATGAGGTGAAAGAGAGAAAAAAATAAAAAAAGGAATGCGTGTGCGCGTGAAAGAGCGAACGAATGGGAGAAAGAGAGAATTCTAGCAATTGTTGAACGTTCATTAAATTGTCCTCGTTTCACGATGTAATAAAAGCTATTTTACTTTGACGTCGATGTTTCATTCCTTAACCCCTTCCCGTGCCATTTAGCTAGACGAAATCCGGTCCCAAACGGTAGACGACAACGCGCTCTTGCGGCGTACTGATAGGAACTAAAACTCGATCACGATCGTGATTTGCTGCCCGCGTGCCTGGTCCCGTGATGTTCATATTTGGGCCTACTTTCTGTTCGCGAGTCAGGCTTGTTAACACTTTGACGGCCGCTGTCACCTGTGCGTGATCTGATGTATCAGTCACCACCATTTCATCGTACATTCAACTTATTACGTTTGTTGAAGTTACGTTTATAATTCCTTGTAATAATATTCCTAGCATGTTCGTGTATCCCAACAATGAGATTCAATGTAATTCTGACAATGGTCCTCGCGTGATACGTGCGGCCATTAAAGTGTTAAAGTACCGAAAGGGGTTAATCAGCACGTTTCACTACCTTCGGTCCGCGAAATACATATAAATAAATATAAATTATATTGTATTTACGTAAAACTATAAATTTTGTGTAATGTACGGAAGTTACGTTTCCCCTTTTGTTTCGCGTTCAAGAAATTAAAATCTCTTTTTCATTTTCAATGGCGAAGTAGCGTGTACCAAGAACCGGCGAGATAAACTCAATCGAGATTGATTTTTATTGATAAAATTTACACGTTGCTTGATATAATCACTTTTATAAATAAATAACAGATTTATAATTTCTCCTGTAGCTTATTCATACGCTATACATGGACGAATAAAATAGTTCCCTTTAAAATTAGCGTTAACTTTACATAGCAAGCTTCAAACACTGAATATCCACAGCATCCCCTTTATACCTATTCAGCTGACTCAACAAATGTAATTTTGGTTGCTCGCAATGAATTGTATGCAATTCGTACGCGCTGCATATATTTAATAGTATAGGTTCTTGCAAACCTTTTACAGGATTTTTTTGAATAGCAGTTTCGTATAAGTTCACTGCTGCCTTCAACTGTCCTGTATATAAAAGACAAACGGCCATGTTATTAGTTAATACAATATTCGACGGATCCAACGTGGCTGCAGCTAGAAAACACGTGTAAGCATCTTGAAAAGCGTTTTGTGCCACTGCCATTAATCCTCTGTCCATCAACTCTCTGACGCTTAGATTGCTATCCTGTTTATGTTTACCGATAAGTAATTTCTCTGCCGCCGAAACGTCGCCCAAAAACAGATGTAGCCTCCCGATACTAGATTTCAAAGCGTCTAATTGTTCGGTAGTCCAGTTTGGATAGTCGCATAGTTTTTCTAAAATATCTATAGCCAGTACATAATTCTTTGTGTTTACCGCACAATTAGCAATAGACATAAGGACTCTTAATTTTCTGCCTTTCCATAACCGTACGGCATCTGTTTGCTCCGTTGCACTGACTTTTACACGAGATCCATCACCGCCGAGTCCGGCATTATAATTTGTTATTATTTGATTCACCGTGGCTAAAAGTTTAAACAAATTATCCAATGCTTGCTTCGGTTTCCCGCAATACAATGGAATTTCGGCTAAAAGTAGTCTAAAAGAGAAGGAAGCCATAGAACCTGGCCTAGTACCGTAAAGCTCAGGATAAAACGTGAAATACATGTCAGGCTTATCTAAATTACCAAACGGTTTCGATTCGTTCTCTAATACATCTATTTGCCTGAGTTTAGTCAGCAAAGCGAGCCTCGTGTACCATAATTGCAAAGAGTGCGGAGTATGCTTGCTCGGTTGATTTATCTTGCCGTACCCTTGAGCATACACTGCCAAAAGTCGCCCAGACAAATTTATCGCCGCTTTGTAACAACCGGCCTGTATTAAATTTCTTAAGCCACGTTCGTCCTGCGTTACATCCGAAGCGGTAAGTACATTCCTATGAATATTTTCATCTTCGCCCAGAAAGTGAATAGCGGTACTTTTTATTAAATCGGGCATGTCTCCCTGGATCGCAAGACCCGGCATCGTCAAGTTATCTCTGTCGATAGAATTAGACCCGATAGTCGATGTGGCGATACTTATTAACACTTTTCGCGTTTGTTCCGAAGGTATCCAGATATCTCTGTGCATATCGTTCATGGCACTGTGATCGAGTCGCTCATTACCGAGCAATACACCGCTATTTAAAAATTCGTTCGAGTGCTCCGTTAGTAATTCAAAATCCGGAATCCTGCTTACCGAACCTTTTTGAGCTTCGAAGAAATCTTGTTTCTTGGGCGAAACGATCTCGTCGAAAATGGTGCGGGACGCATTCTCGAAATAACGACTGATGTCTACTTCCTCTTTCATAACCTCTTCGAATGTTTCCGATTTCGGTTTCGTAGATGTTTCGTTGCTATCAGCCATTCTGCATTAAACATTACAATACATTACTTGTTGCTTGCTTAATATTTACTTACATTAATATACGCGTACTTGAACATTTTCATAAATCTTACATCGGACGAAACCTTGGACATCAACTGTCAAGATCGGATGGAGACATTTTACTAATTGTAAGAGATATGTATACGAAAAAAAATGGTATAATGCGCATATCACAGATACACGAACAAGTTTCACAAATTCCTGTGCCACTGGAATTTATGAATGTTCAGAACGAACAGAGCATTCTGAAAGAAAAAGATATGTACTTTCGGTAATGTTTCATTCTTACGAAGACGGTTTTCTCACGAGGCGATATTTACATACGTTCAAGAACATTTCAATACGCCTCTATCATCATTGATTTTTTAATTTAATACGAAAAAGTAAAGCTATCATAATTTCATGTTTAATATGAATACATACTAACCTCTACTTTATTTCTGATTACACGTATAATTTTATCGACGACATTCGCTACTTCTCACTCTGTTCCCGTGAAAGGCGGCAAAAGATAATAAATCTTACTGCAATTCATGTTTATAATCACACAGTTTTACTTGTAAATCAAGTTACTCGTTGTGATAAAAGGTGCATGAAATAGTGTCGCCCGCCATCTAATATCAGGGATTCGTACTGCTGAAATCGTGCCAGGATCACAGAATGTTATAGGAGGTATCCGGGGTACAGGTTCCCCCACTCCTGTTACTCCTGTTACGCACTACCTTGATTATTCGCTAATAACTCCTTTTCTGGGATTGAAATATGAACTTTTAGAATCGAAGAATGTAGTACAGACCCTTGGCTAGATTCAAGGATACTTTTTAGAACCAATTCGCTCGTAATTAACAAGCTATTAACGAATATCGGAAGTCGGCACATTCATGGCTGTATTACTGTCCGCTTTTATTTTTTTAAAGCATTAGTGGTGCATATTTTTAATGCAACTCAAGTAGGTGTGGAACGTATAAGATTTCGTTTAATTATTTCCCTTCGAAACTCTAGGAGCTCACGTATGTACGCATAATCTGGCACAGCGCGCGAAAGTGGAATGAGGAGTTTCCCGGTGCACCTAGTGCCCGGCCTGGTGGCATTGTTACTCCGTGCCGCGGTATTGATTTGAATGCGCAATGTCAAATAACGATAGTCGGAAATGCGGACGTTGCTTCTCGTGACTCGCCACGTATCGTAACGAAGCTATTGTTCCCGAGATTATCGCGACGAAGGAAAAAGTGTGGGGCGAGACGAAAATTGGAAAACATGGTTGGACCAAATGTCTCCTTGTGACTAACCGTTCCGGAAGGTGGGACAACCTCTATACAGGGCGCATCCTTCAGGACACCTTCCGAACACGAACGTGTAAATACGGAACTCGCAACGCTTTGTAAGGTAAATCGGAAAAGAAATCTTTGTTGCATATAAATATAATGCACGCGATATCGCCGCGATTGGAAATTCAAATCTTATTAACACGCTTTAACGGCCGCACATATCACGCGAGGACCGTTGTCCATCGCCACTGATATTGCACACCAAAGTGAGATACACGAAGATGCTAGGAATATTATTACAAGGAATTATAAATGATCACGCGCACGTGATAATGGCCGACATCTGCTGGCTCGCTAAGTCACGTATACGTGACAGCGGCCGTCAAAGTGTCAAGCATCATTATTTCGAGATTACCGCGAAGTTTGAAATTTGTAACACGTAAAAACTAACTGTAAAACGAACCGTTTATCCACAAATTTTATAGAACGTTCTCTTTCTCCTTTTGATCTTTAGATTAAGTTCTTGCAATTTGGTGGAAACACCATGGGGCATCCTGTATATACGAATTGGCCAAAACGTGAGTTTATCTTTTTAGGTGTACCCTGTGAGCCCTGTAACAGGGCCAGGTGCAGCAAGATCCGTATGGGAACTAAGTCCAGATCCTGACATGGTCAGGCATCTACCAAATACTCTAATTTCCAGCACCACCCAGCAGAACCATGGATCTGCTAAAAGCACTGATCTACAGACAAGAAATGGCCCTGATGATAATATTTATGCGGATGAACATACCTCGGGTCAAACACCATCGGATGAAACAAAACAGATGTTTAAACTTCTAAGATCTGGGTTAGATTTATGTGTTTACATTTCTTTTATTTTTTACAATTTTCTGTCTAGAAATAAGGACATACCGAAAGGGGATAGAAAAAATTTTGGATTTGTTTTTAGCAAAATTGGAGCTGTCGATGAGCTGGTAGAAAAGAATGGTCTAAGCGTATTGAGTGCAAGGGATGAATGGGGATATACTCCTGCCCATCGGGCCGCTTTAGATGGAAACATTGAAGTTAGTTTTTCTGTTTTATTCACCCTTAGAAACATGTAGCTATAATATAGCACTAAAGCACTTAAAAAACAAGATTACTTAAATTGGCAAACATTAAATCTGATAATAAGTTCATATTTTGTTCTCTTTGGAACCAAAAATTTTTTATCCTCCCACAGGTAATGAGATATTTAATAGAACGTAATGGACCGGTTGATCTATCTTGTCTTGGAACCCAGGGACCAAGGCCGATACATTGGGCATGCCGAAAGGGCCATAGTGCAATAGTTCAGTTATTGTTGAAGGTATGCAAGTTAATGGAAATACTGTACACGAAATCGTATCTAAAAGCAAATCAAAATTTGTATAGTTTTTTGCTTTCAGGCAGGAGTTGCCGTTAATGCAGCAGATTTTAAAGGTTTAACGCCTCTGATGACTGCCTGTATGTTTGGGAAATTTGCAACAGCGGCATTTTTATTGGGATCCGGCGCATTGGGACATATAACGGACATAAATGGCGATACCGCGCTTCATTGGGCTGCGTACAAAGGCCACGTGGAATTAATAAGACTACTTATGTACAGCGGAGTAGACTTGCAAAAACCAGATTATTTCGGATCCACGCCGCTACATTTAGCGTGTCTTTCTGGCAACGTCAGCTGCGTGAAAATATTGTGCGAAAAGAGTAAAATTGAATTGGAACCGCGCGATAAAAATGGTAAAACACCATTGCAATTAGCGAAAAGTCACAGACACTCGGGAATTGTAAGAATACTCCAAGCTGAACAGAAACGAAGGGCTAGATGGATACCACCTATCAACGAACTTTGGTTTGTGTTAAATTTCATTTTTCGTGAATTATTGCCAAAAATATTTTACACGTTGATACATCGATAGTTTGATTTCTTCTAAGGGCGCTACTATTTGGGGGAGCTGGAAACAGTAAAGGTCCTATATTACTGTTCATGATATCTGTTCTATTGTGGGGATATCCAATTTATCTATTAAAATGTATCCCATTAACGTGGAACCTTTTACGCGGCAGCCATTATTGCTTTATTTATTGGAATACTGTTATGTGGATTTCATGGATTGTAGCAAACAGGAGGGATCCTGGCTATGTACCACAAAACAGTGACACCTACTATAGGGCAATTAAACAAGTACTGTGTAATGATTTAAGCATTAATCGGTACGGGATGTCGGAATGTTTAGTAAAATTTATTTTTAGATTCCATGTTTTGATAAATGGAAAAAAAGGAATGTATTATTATCTCGATTGTGTCACAGTTGTAGATGCTTCAGACCTTTGAGAGCTAAACACTGCAGAATATGTAACAGATGCGTCACATATTTCGATCATCACTGTCCATTTATATACAATTGCGTGGGTTTAAGAAATAGGTAAATAATAAGTTATTACAATTATATGCACATTTTGCATATAATTGCCAATTATCATGAACAAATTATTGTTACAGGATGTGGTTTTTCCTTTTTGTTATGTGCGTAGCAATAAATTGTTCGTTTACAATTTACTTTGCTTGTTACTGTATGGCGATCGAAGGAATCCAATTATTATATGTGCTAGGTGTATTAGAAGCTTTGGTCTTCTGTGGACTTGGATGGATTTTAACATGCACCTCGGTAAATATAAAACATAACTGCGTGCTAGATTTATAATAATCCGTCTTTCTTTTTATATATAGGTGCTACACGCGTGTATGAACTTGACCACGAATGAAATGTTTAATTACAAAAGGTATTCGTATTTAAGAGACAAGAAAGGCAGATATTTGAATCCATTTAGCAGAGGTCCTGTTCTTAATTTCATTGAATTCTTTCTTTGTCCACCAAACCATCAAGCAAACGACCCACAAAATTACCATATACTATCAGAAGATATCATGTAAGATATTGAAATGTTGTGATCACTATTTTACAGCAGTGTTGTACTTGTAGAAAATGTAAAAATATTAATCATGCAACTGATACTATTTTTCGGAATAATTGCAACATATGTACCTGCACATGATCTACATTGTTAATGCTTCTATTATTGTCACCTTTTATCTATATGATTCATAAAGCATATTTCAATAAATAATTTATTAATTTATTTCATTTAAATTTATTACACCTACAATATTCTAATAACCATTACAAAATGTGTATAACAAAAATCAGATTATTAAATATGATTTTAAATAACGACCTATTGCAATTACAGTTAAATGATTTAAAAGTGCTACTAAGGAAACAATGATCATATTAATTGTTAAATTCATTCTATAATTACGACATAAAAAAAAAAAAAATAATATATCGATGTAAAAGTATCAAATTGGTATATACAAACACTTTAAAAATTGTTATTTATGTATAATTTGTGTATATAAAATGTAAAATATGTCTTTGGTAAAATATACTGCGTTTTCTAATATAATTAAAATACTTATACGTGTCAATTCATACCATTAAAAAACCCCCAAGTACTGTATAGAGGCATTACAAATGGAAATATTAAAAATGATTCGTTTGTATAAAAATTGTAATTTAGAATAAAATATTATAGCTCGAATTTTTTATGTTACCTGACGATGGATACGTACGATGGATGGTGAATGGAATTCTTACTTCAACTCGTAACAAAAGTCGTAATTTGGCGGTGGGTCGGGAATAGCAGGCGGATCTTGAGGAATATGAATTTCTTCTGCGTCTAGAAGTCTTAATTTAATGTCCATAGATAATAATACTTCTAAATCGTGGTCTGCCTCTTTACTTGTCATTCTGTTGCCTAAAAATAAATTTTTGTTTTCTTCGATCTCATAAAAAATGTTATGCAGCGAGTCCTCGAGTTTACGCAATTAACCGCATAAATCGAAGACTTTACTGTATGTCATGCGTGTAATAGCCATCACATACCGAGCAAAGCATTAATGCCGTCCGTCCAATAATCAAAAACTATCTCATCAGGAGCAACAAAGTCTAAGCTTGAAACTTCGACGGAATCCAAAATTAAAGAGAACGCCAACTGATGCGTTGTTTTCCGTCTTTGTAAATCTTTCATATGAGGGCAATCTCTGCCAGTCAGTAAACCCCGAATTTCAACAACGGCCAACTTTGTAGGGAGCTCATCGATCGTTGGTACTGATTTTTCATCGCAGTCTCCATAATGGAATACTTTGTGGTTAGGCGAAAGTCGAACGTACCAAAATTTATCCTTGATTCTCTGTATGCGTTATATACTTTTAAATAAATTATAAATTTTTGCGAGGACAAAAGATACGTACCTGTCCCCTTGCGCTATACTTCATAAATCTAGTGCCTTCTACCAAAAATCCCAACCGTTGTTGCCGAATGAGTTCTAGAATTTCCGGTGTAATTTGTTCTCTAAGTTCAACAATCGGCCTTGCATGACTTTCCCACTCTTCTCTGCTAGTTCTTTCTTGTTGCCAAAGGTTGGTAATCGTTGAATAAGTTAATTGTTGCAACTTATTTTTAAATTTATCCAACCCTGTGGGCTTGCACTGAAGTGCTCTGGTAATTTGTTCCCTTACAACGGAAAATACTTTCACGAAATCTTCGGTGGTGGCTCTCATCTCCTTCCAAGTTTTATTTAACAGAACTATACACACGCAATAGAACTCTTCAAATGGATGATCGTGTGTAAAAAACATCGGATGATACGATTGACCTTGTTCGCTAGGTGCTTCCCCAATGCGTAATACCTAATTAAATTTAACAATGAATATAACTCGTTTAAATAAATTTTTCTATTAAACTTTATACGCTTACTTCGCAAAGTAACTTAACCAATTCCACGCTTGTTCTACCGAAAGGGCATTCGTGTTCGTCCGCCCTACAAGAATTCTCTAGAACAACTTTAGTATAAGCTTCTGTATGGTTACGTGCAAAGTAAACCATGCAGTCTAGAGCAAGCATGCCAGGAGGGGTCTCTGTAAAATCAAGAGCAGGATTAATGTCGTATTTGAAACCCAATTTTTTGTAATCCTTGGCATAAAGGCCTTGTTTACGAGCGGTCACATCTCCGCCAGGTATCCCTTCTGTATCAAAAGCAATTCTCCGAAGCTCTTTAATTTTATCATGCGCGTCTTGATCTTGAGGATCCATTTTTGTCATCATTCGTTGTTCCCATAGACTTAACATCAATGTCTGTAATACATATAACTGGTGCGCCATTTCTGCACCAACCTGCACAAGAAATAAATCGTATTATAAATTCAGAAGGGTGTTATTTTATAACGAATGAGAATGTTTAAATACGTCGTACCTGACCAGTAGACTGTATGATATTAGTCAAAAAAACACTTCTAACTTGTTTAGATTGAAGAGTCGTAGCGACAGATCTGCGTTTGGATACGTCAGCCTTGAGGAATAAGGCATTTATCAGAGCTATTGCGTTTTGTTGTATTTGTGGACGCATACTTTGTAAATGTATTACTAGATTAGAAAAAGTCACTTCTTTCTCAACTTGTCCATACTTTCCAGAAGAATTCAGTACTATATTTTCGAGGATGCTAAGCGAAGCTTCAATAATACTAGTGTCTTGAGTAACAGCTTGATTGTTTACATAACTAGCTACTTTATTAATGAAAGGTGTTTCTAATATATCCCATGAAACAATACCATGATCCATGAGCTCCACAAATGATTGAAGCGAATATGCAAGCGTATTACCTTTATATTTTTCTCCTTCTACCTATAGAAAAAATACATTAAATAGATAAGATAGAGAAGCAATTAAAGTGAACAATTAATCAAAAATACCTGCGATATAATCAAAGCTAATCCCTGCTTATTAATAAATTCAAATGCAAATGTTATATCCGTACTAAGCGAGCTTAGACTCTGCAGAGCCACAGTTTTTTCTTCTATAGTTCCATTATTGAGTTTGGTCAGAATATTGCTTGCCGTTTTCGATGGGGAAAACTCTAATCTCAAAATACTGCCGTTTTTTACTTCATTACGATTTTTTTCTGTGATATAATTTTGGTTATTACTTTCAGAAAATTGTAACGAATACGACTCAGGATCAGAGAGCCCCCACCCATTGCATAGTTCCTAATAAAAAATTCAATCGATTATAATATATGTTTACTCCATATAGTTGTTACTTAAGAATTTTTTATGGATTTGAAAAATTACTTGTATCTAAATCATATGTTAAGGAGTTAAATAATTTTTAAGCATAGCCGCGATTCGATGTACCTGAATAATTCCAGTTAGTGGTTGCTTTTGATTAAATTCAATGAGTTGTGGCACTTGGTCTATCATTTGGACAGCAATTTTCACAATATTAGAATCCTTCTGGACCGGCATTTTTATTGTCTGCGTGTACATGAAGGGATTAGTAACAATTGTTAATTATTGAAACAATGTCGAGAGATACGATAAACGCCAGTCCAGTTTAAAAAATATTATAAATTTGACGTATCTCTTGTCATAACAATATGACAGTCCACCATACTTGTTTCGTATTAAAGGCGTCTAACAATCTGACTAGCGTTAGACCCAGTCTTAACAGACTAAGCACTGAGTGCGGCTGCGCCAAAAACAGAAACTCCTCATTCTACTTTCGCACACTATGCCAAATCACGCATGCGTGAGCTCGTAGAATTTCGAAGAGCCAAGAAAGACAAACTGTTCACTTGTCCTCTTCTTCGATTCTCCGAAGCTGCACAAAGATCGGATCGTTCGGATGCACTTCGAACCATCTTCAGAGAACGAAGAGAGAGGACAAATATGAACCTTTCATGCATTTCAGACATTTTTATATAAATTCTATTCTTTTTCATATTTTAAGTCCGTTTCAGCTTGTTTAATTATTAAAATAATTTTATACGGCACTACATGAACCGGTTTTTATATTCTCCGACAACTTTTAACTACTTAAACACAAGTACCTACGTATGTACTCGCAATTGCACCGAAGGTCAGATTAATTGAAACTAATTAATGACGTGATCATAATAACAGTAACGTACATGCATTATATGAAGTGTTATCGTATTAAATTATCTTGCAAACCTTGCGAAAGAAAAGATTCTAAATAAAGACATATTATAACATTAAATGTGGCATGAACCATATTGATGACGATAACCCTGTCGAACTTTCTGATATACATACATGCATGCATAATGTGAACAAATGTTTGACTCTTAATCATTGTGATTATATTATATCAGTGTAGTTTTACTAGAATACATACATATGTATAATGATATCGTCAAGAGCCAACACGTTTGCATTATGTATATGTGATATATGCATACATCGAAAAGTTCAATAAGGTTATCAGCATCAACATGATCTTACGTTATTTAAATGTTACGGTAGGTCTTCATTCAATGTCCTTTTTATTACGTGGCCTGCAAATTAATTTAATAAGATAATGCTGTATTTAATGGATGCACATTATTGTTATTGTGGATTAAGTAATTAAAAATTAATTTTCTGAATTTCGGTGTTCGTGAACCTTTGTGGACGAAGGAAGAGAAAAACGGAAATTGACTCTAATTTTGTCTCATTCTTAAAGGATATGTTATCTCATAACCATACAATCGACAGCCAAGAATCAGAAGTATGGTACATCCCTGAATAGAACGTCGTGTCGACGCAATGAACGAATTAAATTTTAGTCATATGACAAGCCGTATTTATATCCAAATTTTCGTCCGTTAGATCGGATTGTAACGATGCTGTACTTAATTAAATTATTTTTAATTCTTGGACAATTGATCAATAAACGCAAGCTTCAACTCAGTAAACGATATATTCTAAATTGTAAACTGAAATTAGTTGTTCAATTCGAGCGAAACAAAGGAAGATTGGGTTATTGTGTGATCGGATATTTTTCGCGCCTTTTTTCCAAATGAAATAAAATGAAATTTCCTTGCACCGCTAAAAACAAGAGTAGATGCTGATAACAACAATATTGTTGTCTTAAAACACTCCCATATATCTATACTAAAAATTATTAGCCAAGGCAACACAAAAGGAGATAATTTTTTCGTCAAAACAATTAGGCGGAAAGCTCTTAACCCAATTGCGTAATACAAACAAATAAAAAATACGTTCTTATCGCTAAATTTATTTTTATCGAATCTAAGTATAAATATTTTAAGTATTTTAACGATTTATTCTCGGTCACCACGATCTGAATGCGTGTGTACGTATTATACGCTCTGGCGATAATGAACAGGAAAATTGCGAAACTTCTTAATAATGCAAATGGATTAATTCGATGTTTTCGCAAATTCTATTTTAAACTAATTTACCTGGCTTTTAATTATAGGAATATCGTCTCGCCGAGCTTGATTGTAATTAGAAGTTATAACTTTACATTTTATGACCACAACAAATAAAAGTAAGAAATTACATGAAATTTCAGTAAATTTCAGAATATTTTATTTGTCTGTACGTGTTTTTCTCGTTTTGATTGATTGCTGCTTTACAAAATATTTATATCCTTCTATAATATTTGTTATGATTTAAGACTGATATGCAATTTGTCAAGATTAGTCAAGTAAGATTAATAACATGCGAATATCATATAAGGCAACGTTGAATTCGTTCGTATTAAGAACTATGTATATGTACATATATGTATGGTCATTTAATTTGCACTATTTGCTATGTATTTTTATCCTTCGTATGTTTAAACTGCTCAGAAAAATAGTATGTATTAATTTTTTTATCATATATATAACCTGTACATTATTCATTAGTTATAATTTGTACAATTGTTCAACATGGTTATTCTAATGATCGGTATAAAGATAGAGAACAATATGAGCGCATTTGAGTGCCTTCTGCATGAGAACTTAGAGTTTCCAGTCCCAAGGTATGCATAAAACGCCGTCACTCATAACTGAATAATAATGCGTCACCCAGAGCATGACACCTTCTAGCAAGGGAGCTAAAACACGTTTGTGCAACAGTAAACGTTCACAACATTGTATCATAAGATCTGGGGTAATACTATCATCCTTATTAAGAGCAGTTAAACCCAATTCTTGGACAGCTTTGTCATGAAGTTCATGTTCTATGTGTTTTACACTGCAATAAAATAAGATATAGGAATAAAAGAATAACATTTCTAAGTTAAATCTCAAATAATCTTACTTGTTATAGTGATGTAATCTTTTCGTGGCTTCTTCTAAGTTTTCACTAATAAAATTTACCAAAAGAAAACTCGGGCACGACGATGGAACTATAAATTGTCCGGTAGGAGAGAGCATTAACGGACCAGCTTCGCTAAAAATAAAGCTAGTTTTATTATGTATATCTTTTCTTGAATTCACGTTATAATATACTTACAGACGTACTAATTAAATTTATCTGATACTTACTTACATAGGAACCAAAAGTAAATACATTACATATGAAATATTAAATACTTCAGATAATACTAACGCTTCGATTACAATTTCATAAGTAGATAAATTGGCTGGCCACGCTTTTGGATAGCTTCGCCGTCCTCGGTAGTCCGAGAGGGTTGTGGTAAGTTGCCTCAGTTGATGCTCATACTGGCTGACCATTACCTTTGGCATGAATTTCCTGCACATATAGAGTACCCTGAGCCTTACCGTCACTCAGTTAATGTGTTGTATTACGCACCGTCGACCAACTTTTATGTTAAGAAGTACTTGTGAAACTGCCTTCTCGAAAGCTGGTAATCTCAACAGTACAACATCATGCTTTTGAACGTTTTTGATTAGCTATAAAAAAAGATCCCTTTAATAAAATGAAACGTATTTAATAAAATATTCTATTAAATCAACAATTTATTCTTACATCGAGCCAATTGTTTCTGACTTCGCCTGAATTCAACATAATATTCCCCTCTAGATTAATGCCTGTATCATTGGCAAACACTAATGTTCTATTTTTTAATACTTCCAAGGGTTCAGGATGTTGTTCGACTAATGCTTTAAAGGCTAGTAAACACCCTCTATAATGAGCTATATTCCATCCACAATCCCATATAATATTTGTTAAACCTAATTCTGAGCATAATATCTTTTCTAGTTTTTGTACTTCCTCTCGCATCGGCCTACATGCTTCCAACTTTATGTGTACTTCATTAATATGTTTCTCTAAATATGCCCTAATTAATAATATTCAGTTTAAAGTTTTAAAACATGTTTTTATCTACTTAAATAAGAAAATATGCTTGATATTAATCTTACTTAAGAGTATCTGGTTCTAAATTAATTTTTCTTTTCATTAAAATAGATGCATAAATAGGATCGTCTTCAAATTCTGAAAAATCTATATTCTCTCCTGTGGTTCCTTTTCTTTGCCAGAATCTCGATTTATATTTTTCAGATTCCAATGGTTTTTGTTCTTCGATTTTATCTACGAACGTAGTCGGCAGATCGCACGTTTTCAAAATAGAGAGTATCGTTTGTCTCAGATCTTTCTCTTTTAACTGTATCTTTACGAGAGTGAATTTACCAGCCTTGACTTCTTTTTCATCTTTAGAGCGTAAATAAAATGGCAATGTGGTAGGCCTTACAGGTCTTTGTTGCTGTAAATTTTCTATGATTGAGCTTAATTGTTTCAAGGAATTCTCATTTACTGTCTGGAAAATTCAAAGAATATTCGAAATAAAATTCGTCCAGCTTCTAGTAGCAATTAAATCCGATAAATATAAACTTCGATATAGTGTACAATAATTCGTGTTTCATCTATTCTATAAATAATCCTAAATATAATGAACCAATAAACTGCGTTGCCGACACGCAGTCGGTCCGGATCATTTACGATTTAGAAATTTATTTCTTACATGTTGTCTAAAGCCGTTTGGCGGACAAATAAACACTTACTCTTTGAGTAGGATATTGTCCAAAGAGATCGGGATGAACTGTAAAATAAAAAGGTCGGAGTGCGGTTGACACTTCGCCCGTACTCAATGCCCTCACTGCGTCTCTCTTGTAGAAGCTGTCAAAAATAACAATTGTTATAGGAACAATTGTTTAATTATTATGTTTTAATATAAGAAATTTTCTCACCATCTCCCCAATGCACAGAACATTTTTGTAGCTCACCGAAATGTCATTACACGTTCGTATCGCACAATTGTTTATGAGTTAAAATGCGATAAACATCGTATTTATTGCTCATCGAGCTTACCAAACACCCTACTACGTGACGCACTAGGGACTCTGTACTCTCTGTAAGCTTGTTAGCCCCAGAATACGATTTTTTAGGCACATAATCTTCCTAAATGTTTAATGCCCAACGTCTTCATAGTGACTGTCCTTGCACTATGTCAATATGCAAACTCGATATAACATTAGACTTGAACCTCTTTCTTTTTGTCTAATCGATGGTGGGAACCATGTTCATACATAGTTATGCACATATGTACATATTTATAGATACATACACGTGTGTGCATTATGTGCTATCAAATATAAATAACGAGCTGCATTTGATTAATGAAATCGTAGTAACGTGAAACACATACACGGAAAATCATGTAAAATCACTTTTTTTTCGGTAATACCAGCTGCATTGAAAGTTGGAATTTTTGTTACCTTTATGCACAATGTCATCGAATGACGTGTTGCATTGTATTATCAGTGCATTATGTTTACCTAAACGAATGGAGAAAGGAATGTATTCAGATTAGTGTATTATTATTACGCTACAGTATTAGTTATGAGTGAACTGTACATAGTTACAGGTGGTCAAAGTAATGACACATGCAATGTCGTGTCTCTGGAGACTGAAACAATAGGAGATTAAAAATATTGTCAATCGTTTCATAGTCTTCGCCCGCTAAACATGATTTCTATAAAGGCAGCTACACGTGTTACATGTGACAGCGTTTAAAAAAAAGCGTCAGTGATTATTTATTCGTAAAAATTATTGTGTTTCGGGCGCGAATAAATTACTAAGCAACAACGTACGAAATCTCATTTTGCCATACTGTAAGTATAATATACATTTTACAAACAATTAAAAAATTTATCTATATAAAACCTTTTGACAGCTGTAAAAAAAGTTTTAATACATTTATTATTTTAAACATTATGCAATGTTGTTTTTCACCATCGCTATTTAAAACATAAAACTTTTATATTTTCAGCTTCACCATGTCCTACTCTATTAATAGACAACCCTTATTAAAGGGTGCATCAGATAGTGAATTTGAGGATGATTTGGAAACTGAAGGTGATGATCCAAATATTTCTGTCCCGGATGAGGAACCATTTTTTAAGCAATTCGAACCTTGTGATAAGTAATAACTTATTATTCATAGTACTTTGTAGTAAATAAGAATTTTCTATGATGATGATTACTCTTAATTTACTTAACATTTTGTTTTGTTGTTAAGGTACAATCTTGTATACATAGTTGTTTACTTACTTGGAATAAATACATTAATACCATGGAGTTTCTTTGTTACTGCTAATGATGTAAGTACAAAATTTATCTCGCTATGACATTGTTAATAACATTTATTTGTATCTATTTTCATTCGTTTTTTAGTATTGGATGTACAAGTTCAGAGAAGTAGATGAAAATTCCACAAAATTGATGAATTATACTCGTGTAGAAAATATGGAAAAGACAACTGATCTGCAAGCTAGCTTTATATCATATTTAAACATAGCAAGTTCTATAGCAAATACATTATTTTTAATTGTTAATACACTTATTAGTAAAAGGTAAGTAAAAGTAGATAATTCTAAATATATTTAACAAAAAAAATATAAAAGGATTGTTATTTTGTCATACTAAATTACATGGAAAAATATTAAAAACAAACAGAGTTCCTCTAAGAATAAGAATGGTGGGCTCTCAGTGCACAATATTATTGTTGTTTATTCTAACAACAGATTTTGTTAAAATAAATACAGATAAATGTAAGTAACGCAAAGTCAAAAGCATTTAATGTTAAATTTTATTGCTTTCCATTGAATGAAAGTATTGATTTAATTTTCAGGGCAAAATACATTTGTTGCAATTACCTTAACCACAGTGGTATTTGTAAATGGTACATATTCAATATTTGAAATACCATTAAATATTATAGTAACTGTACTGTAACAGGATTTATTTTTAAAGCCGCGAGTGCAATTTTCGGAGGGAGTCTGATGGGTATTGTTGGTCGTCTTTCGCCAAAATATATAACCGCTATGTCAAGTGGCCAAGCTCTTGGAGGCATTTTTACCGCCATCACGGAGATTTGTTCTCTTTGGATCGGTGCTAGTCCTATCCTCTCGGGTTTAGTGTACTTTATCATTGGAGACGTTATTTTGTTTTTATCTCTGGTTGCTTATATAATTTTAGAAAACTCAGTAAGTGAATCAATTTATTTGAACGGATATATAATAGCAACGGTACTTCTGGCACAGATGTTTTATAATGCGCCATAAGTAGCTTATGATAATGATACAGTCATTAAACTAGTAATCTGTCTTGCATGAAATTTGAAATTAAGACTCCTTTAAGTTATAAATAATGTTTTATTGTATCTTATTTAGACGTTTTTTAAATACCACATGTTGGAAAAATTACCTGAGAACATAGAAACAAATTTTTCAATAACTGGAGAAGTAACTTTCTCACATAGTACTTCAGTGTCCTACACGCGTATCATTAAGAAGATTTGGCACTACGGTCTTAATATTTTTCTAGTATTTTTTATAACTCTTTCTGTATACCCAGCAGTTACTGTGTTGATAGAGAGTCAGTATAAAGGGAAGGGCGGTTCTACATGGAATGGTAAGTTTACATTATTTACAATTTATCAACTACTAATATTTATGCATATATTACAGATATCTACTTTGTGCCAGTGGTGACCTATCTTATTTTTAGTATTGGCGATTACACCGGAAGAATATTATCTGGCATTCTACAATGGGTATGTATAAACAATATTTTTTAACTTGAAAGTATTCTTATATTTATGTATTGTCTTTTTTTTTTTACTACAAAAGCAATAAAAAACAATTTCATATTCTTGTAGCCAAAAAATAAACCATGGCGAATGGTGTTGTTGAGTTTAATGAGAGTTATCTTTGTGCCAGCTCTTATATTTTGTAACGCGCAACCCAGACATCATCTTCCTGTTTACATTCATAACGATATTTATTATATTTTAATAACTATTGTATTTGCCATTAGCAATGGCTATTTATACAATTTAACATTTATTTTGACTCCCACGTAAGTGTTGAATGTTAAGTATGTATATTAGTAGCACGTTATACTATTAAATATTATTACCCGTATTTTTAACAACAAATTTTTAAACAGGGTCGTAGATTCTCATGAAAAAGAAATCGCATCTGCCATAATGGGAGCTTTCCTTGGAGTGGGATTAACAGCAGGCGCTGCGTTTAGCGTGCTCATGATTAAACTAATATAACTATTATCAAAAGAAATTGATATTCGAACGACAACAACATTAATCTCACTGCCTATTTTATATTGGAATCAAATAGGACCACAGACCATCGAGTTCAACTATGGCAAATCCAGACGTAATACAGTTCTTTTATATTTAATGACACTCAATGAATGTAATGTTTGATACATTAATTAAATTATTTTTTAAGTATTTGATTTACTATTTTCGTAATTAAACTTGACCATTCCGTGAACATGTAAAAAGTTTTTAGTATAAAATAAAAAAGAAAATTGTACGTAGTAGATTGTGAATACATGGTAGCACGTAAGGAATGAACTGATTCTAGAGAGAGATATAATTCTAGTTATTATAAATGTTAAGAATATATTTATTTTTAAGGATTCAGAGTACAATAAATTGTAATAAATATTTCGACCCTTGTCAAAAATAACTGAAGAAATTTCGTAAATTATATGTATATAATACATAATTATTATAATGTACTTAACGTGTATAATAAAATAAAAAAATAAATATATTTAAATATAACATATTTATTCTAAACGAAAGCAATTTATTCCTACTCTTGTAAGTTGGACAGTTTTACCTACATTAGATAGCATGTGGTCCTATCAAATAGGGATTATAATTATACATCTTACTTCAGCGTGCCATAAAAAATTGTTCATCTCTATTTGTATACACGTAAAATATTTTCAAACTTTTACAGATTTTTATGACTAGAAATACATGATTTATACAACATAAAAGTAAAATGTATAAATACATATAATATGGAAGTAATTTAAATATGTTTTTAAATACAAGTCAGATAATTTCTTTTTTTAAATGTTTGCTTTTACTCGTAACATAAAAAAAAAAAATGTTCACTTACTGGAGCATGCATATCTCTCATGAAGGATACTGTTTGTTTTTACTAGTTAATGGAACAAAAACAACACTGGTAAGGGACTTTTTCTTGATTTTTCCGTCCAATGTTTTATCGACCTGAATTAACGTTTGATCCGAATTTTCTGGACCCATTGGTAATACTAAACGTCCTCCAGGAGCTAGTTGATCTATCAACTGTATGAACGGTATTGTAATTATTAAAATAAATTCTCATAATATTGTAAGGCTAAAACAATTAGAAAGTTCTCTTACAGCCTGTGGCATTTCTTTAGCTGCCGCGCCTACATGAATAGCATCATACGGTGCTTTCTCAGGATATCCTAATCTCCCATCTCCAACTAGAATATCACATATTCTTTTAGAAAAATTTTGAATACATAGAGAAAAGAAGCTATATCTTTGCTATGGTTGGAGTTAGAAAAACATGTGACATGGATAGGACATTGTTTAGTTACATTAGTATATAGATTAAGCTCCTTAAATATTCACATGTATTTCTGAAACACCTTGCATACAAAGTTTTAGAACGAATTAAGCCGAGAACTTATTGGATTTAAATGCTACATAAAGGACAATTACCAACTAATTCGATAAGACCACTTTGCAGCAATTCCGGGTTACCTCGCCGAATATTTTCCTCCGCAAATGCTTTTAATTCAGGAATATGTTCGATACCTACAGTCAAACCGTTTGGTCCTAACATCTTAGCCATACATGCTGTTAGATATCCAGAACCACACCCGACATCCAATACTCTTGCACCGTTATGTAGTTTCTCTTCGAGTAATTCCAAGGCATATGCATGCTGAAGTATTATAGTTTACAATATTTTACCAATGATTTGCAATATTTATGAAAAATGTAAGTACATTTGTAAAATTTGTTATTTGTATGTCGATTATTAAAGAAATATACCATATGAGGAGCACTTATGGTAGCACCATAACCAATTCCTTGTGGAGAATCTATGTATACATAACTGGAATCAGAGTAATTTCCTCTATCTACAGAAGACATTGCTTCGTACACTCTATCAGATTTAATTACTTTTGATCCTAAGATAAAAATAGAAATGCCAACAAATTCGTTTCTTTTCATATAACGATGTAAAAAAAAAAAAGAATGAATTTACATTGCTTACTTTTAAGATATTGCATAAGATCACTATTGCTTTTTGCATGAAATCTTCCGGGCCAGGCCATTTCACATGCAAATACCGAAAACAATGAACTTATTACTAAAAAAATAAAACACGTCAAGTATCGGGACCGAATTTTGAGGCTGTATTTTATGACTTAAAGCACCTGACAATTTGTTGCGAATGTTCGAGATCTTTAAAAAATTGTCAATTTAATGAAATAATACATCGAACAAAATAAATTTGTTTATGAATTGCCTGAGTAACATTAATTAACAGGTGAATTGAAGATGTATATTTAGACAACAACAGATGTCTAAATATAAAACTTGATAGAAACAAAATGTCCTGACGTTCACTTGGAGGTAACGTAACAATTACGTTGCATAAGGTACATCACTTTATTTTAGCTGCAAACAATATAAAAGAGATTGCAATAGATGAACATATTTATAACAGACTTGAGTTTAGTAGCTTGTTAATTTAACCACGCTCTTCCTGTGCGTAATCGTTGTATTATTATTATAACAGTTTAATTATCCACGTCAATATTATTTCTGTCACGAACGATACATAAGATAGACTCAACATTTCACAGACCGTCCATAATGCGCGTTATAATCACACCACAAACTACATGTGAAATAGATCATCCGATGCAACAGTGCATAGTTCCTTAACTGACCGCCATTCATGAGAAGAGGACGCTCTAATCACCTCCCAATTTTTACGTCGGTATGACAGTTAGTTTGGACCACGAAAGCAGTATTAATTCTTGCCGCTAATAGCGCTGATACATTCCCTTCTGAATCGATAACGTTGGATGTGATATGGAAATGATAAGGGGGACTAGAAATTTTTCTCCCTGATCCTGCTAACGATCATAGATCCTTTTTTTTTGTAGGAATCCACGAGGTCTACTATAGAAATAAATTACAATGAAATACATTCACTATTGTAGGAAATTTGGAACATTTTCATGGTGTTCTCCTCACTTTACGGGGTTAAGAAACAAGTTTGCGGAATTTCTACATATTTTACACCAAAATACGCGTTATTTGCACTTTGAAATTTTAAAATTTTCCAATCCGTTCAGAAGTTATGATGGTTTCAACCATAGACGAGGTATCCCGGGACCCCATTACCATTTTCGTGTCACTCGCAACGTTATCAACATATTTAGAAATTAACACAAGAGGAAGTGCGACAGAAACTAAAACTGCATAAATTTTATTATTTTTTAACGGAATGAAAGCTGTATGGTCCAGAATTGAGCATCGATCGATTAATTCCATTGGAATAACCAATCGATTGAGATTATTTAAAGATTTCGAAATTATTAAAATACGTAAGGATCTCATTGATAAATACACCGCAAATCCTGTATTTTTTATTTTAAATTGTAATATATTATTTATTTAAAAACTAACTCGACAAAAACGTATTTGCGACTCGAAATCAGTGCTATTAGACCGCACACCAGGACGAAGAAAGTATGTGGAACTATAAGAAGAACGCAGCCATTAGCTCATATTATTTGCTATGTAATTAATAATTATATTAATTATATAGTAAATAATATGACCCAGGTCTCACCGCGAGGAGGTTGCTGCGTATGGAGACCCGCCCTAGCCTCGCCCCAACCACCCTTCCTTTGGCGAGGAATTCGAATATCTATTCAAGAGAGAAGCTATCGAAAAGTTGGAAACGAGCTAGAAAAGGAGAGTTCTTAAAAGAACTGCCCAATCAAGAGACGAAGAACCTAACAAAATGTCAATACATGTGAGATGATACACATGTTTTCTAAAAACGAAATTGAAATGTGCAACTGCACCTACGAACTCCGATGAAGAGATCGAAAACCTAACAAAATGTTGATACATGTGAGACAATCCAGCACATGTTTTCTAGAAACGAAATTGGAATGTGCAACTGCACGTACGAATCCTGATTACTAAAGTACCAATATGTACTTTATTATTAATTGTTCCTTCTTAAATAACAAGACACTCGTACAAAACGAAGAAAGGATCCTGAAGATCCAACCAGAAATGTGCAACTGCACGTACGGACCTTGCATACTAGAATACTAATATGGATCTTAATATTAATCATTCCCACTTAAATTTACGCACACGTTTCGGTAATATTTAATAAACGGCAGGAGAACGCTTTTTTATCTTATAATCTATATACATTTGTACTTATATTCTAACGCAATCTGTAGAAACATGAAGAAATATGAGGAAATATTTTCTTCTTGGTGTCTTCATCGATCCCACGATGTTTTTCTAAAACATACACTCATACCCAATAAATAGAACTCATATAAAACGGAGAAACATGAAAAGATATTTTCTTCTTGGTGTCTTGATTAATCCCACGATGTTTCCCTGAAACATAAATCAGACAATAAATAAAATTGTATGAAATATTTCCCTAAGAGCGATCAAGATGGAATCCGTGTACAATTTCCAATTCCATTCTTCGATGATTATATATCCTGTAACAAGAACTTGTTCAAAGAATTAATAGCTGAAATGAAAGTGTATTAATGGGCACAGAAAAAAATAATTATGTACCGTCACGATAGACTCATGGTAATCGATCATAGTAAAAGTGATATGAAATTAATATTTAAAAAAAGTTGAAAAACATAAATATTACGTGAAAATGAATGCAAAGTTAAATTCGTCCCAATGTTAAGATAAATAAGAAATAGATTGAAAATTTTATTCATCTGTTACCGTAGATTTTATTTTTCAAGAAAAAAAATTCCATGACGTATACATTGCAATAATTATATTTTACTGTATTCAAAACTAAATTACGTTCATACAGAAAAAGCAATAACGAACGAAAATGTCGATTCTACGCGGAAATTAATTCTCAATATGAAATATCGAATTGCAATTTGCATATCCTTTTGATGCAAGCATTCTATTTTCCATCGATTAAAACAATGATCGCGAACAAACTTTGATTTATGCAAAGAATACAGAATATTTATAAAAAATTCGCTATTTATAAATAACAATTGGATTGCAAACGTTATTATATCCCGTAAAAATTACCAACTCTAAGAATGAATAATTAGTGATATAGATATCTATATAGCAATCATAAATTCAATCTACAATAAAATTAATCATAATATAGAATTTTTAAATGTATCACAAATCTATGATGAAAATACATTCCCATATATTACAGATTTTAACAAGTTATGAAGAATAAAACAATTGGTCTATTCACAGCAGTACTTCAAAGCAGTATTTCTTTTGAGAATAAACTCATAATTGGAATAAACGTCCACTCGTTTTAAATTCAAACAACCCGTGAGTGGACCATTCTTTCTTTCGCAACGCTAATTTATACAATAAAAAACTATACGCGAATGGTGCTTGTTATTCGTAAAATGAACCACGCAGGGTTCCTTTATTAATTAAATCGCGTGCACCCATATTCAATCATGCGCAACACTAATTTTAATAACGACGTTGAGCCATTCGAGGCTTTGCAGAATCTCAGCTTGCTTCTCGATGATCCTGGTGCAGTGGGCAGCGTTTTGGCCAGCTTTTGGGCATTGAATCGCAACTCTAATTAATAAAAAACGCGACAAGTCAAGAACGCAACGCTAATTTATAATATAAAAATTCCAAACGCGATTTATAACAATAAAAGCAACCGCGAATGGTGATTATTCGCAACACTACCCTGAAAAGTAAACGCGAAAAATATTAATTCGCAACGCTATGAGCAAACCGATCAGTTAATTCGCAATGCTATTCTTAAATAACGATAAAAGCAATCGCGTATGGAGTTCGCAACGCTACCCTGAAAAGGAAACGCGAAAAATAGGAATTCGCAACTCTACAAGTAAAACGCGATTATTGTATATTCGCGACTCTATCTTTAATGGAAATACATTTATGTTTCGCAACGCTAATGCAAATCGCGTTGCCCAAAAACGCTGGATCAGGTGCTGGCGTCTTCGGTTGTAGCTAGAAACATACATGCACGAAATAATCTAACTACATCAAGCTACTTCAAACTACAATAGAGTGGCACATATGGGGATGAAGTTAGACGTTTTAAATATCGCAACACTACGGGGCAACAACGCGATAAATCAACAATCGCAACGCTAATTTATAATAGAAAAATTCCAAACGCGATTTATAAGAATAAAAGCAACCGTAAATGGTAATTATTCGCAACGCTACCCTGAAAAGCAAACGCGAAAAATAGTAATTCGCAACTCTAATTCGCAATCGCGTTTACTAAAAATTCGCATCGCTATTTTTAAAGCAAACGCCCGGTTCCTAGGTTTGCATAAAGACAATCGCGAATCGTATTTATTCGCAACACTGATATATCAACGCGATAAATATCTGTTCGCAACTCTACGAGCAAACGCGAACATTGTATATTATTCGCAACTCTAACTTTAATCAGGGGCTATTGGTACATGTACATAGACATGTACTGGCCACAAAATAAACTAACTACTGCTAGTACTACAATTGGGGTAGAATTTGGGCATTGAAAATATCGCAACGCTAAATAAAAAATCGCACGATTAATCAAGATCGCAACGCTAATTTATAGTATGAAAATTGCAAACGCGGTTGACATCCATTATATATATAAAAGAGTAAAAAAGCAACGCGAATCGTGATTGTTCGCAACACTACCCTGAAAAGCAAACGCGAAAAATAGTATTTCGCAACTCTACGAGCAATCGCGTTTATCAATAATTCGCAACGCTATTTTTAAGCAAACATTCGGTACCTAAGTTTGCAAAAAACCAATCGCGTATCGTGTCAAGGCGCAACACTACCCTGAAAAGGAAACGCGAAAAACAGTGATTCGCAACTCTACAAACAAACGCGATTATTGCATATTCGCAACTCTATGTATATCATAACCGCGAGTTATGGGGAGGGATGGCTGGCATGTATGGTGCAATCATGTACCATCAGGTACATGCATACGCGAGCCAGCCAGAAAAATAAACTAACTACAACTACAGACGAGTTAAGTGACAAAGTAGTAATAGGAATGACTTTCCATCCTCATCCGAGGATGAAGATGAAAAGCCATTTGTTGTAGCCCACTCTTGAAACAGTTTGTCAGGGCCTCTTCAGCTCATTGAGAGCCTTTTCTTTCTTCGGCGGTCCTGCCGATGCCTGAAACTTACTTAAGACTGGGCTCGAGATTTCGTGCAATACGTAGTCTTCCAACAATATACGAATTGTTGCAAGAGCATACGTGGCGAATCTCGAGCGGGACGAACGTTTCAAAAGGGACCTAATCCCGACCGCGAGCGCGAGAGAGCGACTTTAAGAGTCGCGCGATTCGAGGAGTCGAAAATAAAGCCGAAACAAACAGCACAAGTGCACCGTTTGAATCAGCAAAATTTCTACTCTCGAAATCGTAACTACAGAAACAGAACTGCCACGCGAAAACGCGCCTACCCGAATTACTAATGTGGACAGTCCTGCCCTGACCCTACCTACTTAGGTTTAAACACACACACCAGAGAATAAGTTACCTACCTACCTAACCCTATATTTAAAAAATTGCAAAACTCAGT